TCAAGATTTTCATCTATCAAATGATGTATTGCATAACATTGTATTCTGAACAGAATATCGTCAATTTCACTTACAGTACAAGATTTATTCCCATGGAAAGGTTAATGACTAGCATGGATGAATTTTATAATGGCTCTTGTGGCATAGTTATAAAGCCAGAAAAACTTTGAGAGGTAAGTGAAGTTGTTTACTTTTTGCATGTTTATTAGTCTATATTCTTTGGTGCATTGCTTAATTAAATAAAAATTATTAAGTGCATTACGGTCTATAGTATAAATAATTAGTGTTAGCTCTCTCCGACAGCAAGAAAAAAGAAGATTGGGTAAGTACTTTATTTCTTGTTTTTCATATTTATTAATATAAAAGTAATTAAAATCTAAAAATATGGATCTTTTTAAGTTATTTAAGACCAGATTAGGTAAAATAAGTAACAATGATAATATAACTAAAAATGGTTCACGATGCATGCATGTGAGCAGCTCGTGGATAATGTAATTCAATAGTGTAATGTGAGCTGCACATTCCCCTAGTGATTTACAACTTATAATGGCGAAGATAGCAGTTACAGTTCAAAGGGCAAAAAACAATAAAATTTAATTATAAATATATGTATATTGTTATGAACTTAGAACTTCTTAGGATAAATGAATGTAGTTTCATGTTACAATTTGAAGTCATTCTAGAAAGAAAAAAGGGTAATTTAGATTTATTTCGATTTTTTTGTTTTTTTCGGTGGCTATGAGGTCGGTCGAATTGACCGATTCCGTTTTGAGATAGGGTAGAGAAAATAACAGATGAACTATAAAGTTTTACTAAAAAAATGTTTGAAATGCATTTAGGAGGTTTTAGGAATTACACAAAAGAAATTTGAGATTTTTGAGATGAGGAAAAATATTTTTTATTTTAACATGAAAACTATTTTGCACATGGATTATTTAAAACAAATACTCAATATATTCATGGATAAATCTTTATTTTATGTTATTAAAAATACTTCCCACAAAATATGATTTTTTTATATGTGAAAGACTCAAAATATAAACTGAAAAACTGCCAAATTTTGTGAAGATTTACACATTATATTGAAAATTAGAAGTATTAAATCTATAAAGACTTTATCAAGTTACAAAGAGTTCACGTGGTCGGTCAAATTGACCGAGCCCGTATTGAGAGAGTTTAAGTAACAAAAAAGGTTTAAACTGCTTCCAAACCTTTTATGGGGGCCAGGTGGTTAGGGTGCTCGAGTTGCAATCTGCGGGTTGCAGGTTCAAATCCTTGTCACACCAAACATGCTCGCCCTTTCAGCTGTGGTGGCATTATAATGTTACGGTTAATCCCATTTGTAAAAGAGTAGCCCAAGAGTTGGTGGTGGGTGGTGATGACTAGCTGCCTTCCCTCTTGTCTTTCACTGCTGAATTAGGGACTGTTAGTGCAGATAGCCCTCATGTAGCTTTGAGAGAAATTCAAAAACAAATAAAACACCTTTTATTTGTTGTTTTGGAAAGTAGTGATATGCAAAATTATTGATCAAGCTAATGAGTTTAATTATGAAATAAAATTACATTTATATCTTTTTTTTTTTTTCCTTTGCACTTTATAAGAGAAATATAAGCTAAATTATAGGGGAAGTAAAAGCCAAAATAATTATCAGTTCAGTACTCCAAGAATAAGCAATTCATTTGTAGAAAGAAAGATGATAGGTGACCTCCAAATCAACTGAGCATTATAATGCTGTTTTCAAGTTAATTAACATTAATTTTTTATTTAAAAGTAGGCTTTCTAGTAGGAAACCTATCATTTTTGTATCAGTGTTAATTCTAAATCATTTTGTAAATTTTCACTTTGGAAAATTTACCAGAAAGATATGAAGGTCTGATTCAAGTACTTATCACTTTCATTGTAAACAAATGCATGACTGAGTTAATGATATTTGACACATGTATCTTTTCAAGACAAGTTTTCGTTTATTAATTGATAAATTTTTAAGTGAATTACAGCATCTTCAAGTCTCCATACTAGCTAGTACTAAGGTCTACTCGCTGGGAGTAAATTCAGTATATATCAATAAAGCCACATTCTCAGCATCATTAATTAAACAATTACCAACCTTTTATGCTTCTGCTATTACCTTTTGATGTTTAGCTTTCAACTGAGATATGAACGATTTCACCTGCAATTCAGTGGGGAAGGTCGAAGTATCACAATAGTCAGCAGTAGGATGAGCAGACAGAACACTTTGAAAGCAACTACAGGCATAATATTGTACCTGGCTTGCTGCACACTATCTACCAAGGTGGTTCTAAATGGTTCCTGAATACCTCTGCGTGTCATTTGGAGACTTCCATGCTTCTTGTGCTTGGCCATTAAACTCATTATGTACAAACGGATTTCAGTCACCTTACCACTTCAAATCACTTTTTGCAGCCCCAACACTAAAATTGTCTTCTTTTAGGGAAATGCCTTCATTTTACCCAATAGAAATTTAAAAAAAATTCAGTTCAAATTAAGAAATATCAAATTGGGTACAAATTCAATGACGAGGAACCCACTTTGAGACTAATAATGGCTGGAGACGGCTTGAATGGGTAATGAAGAAAACTTAATATAA